GTCCCACCTGCTGCGGGTGCCCGTGTCGGTCGCTCATTCGACGGCCCATCGGAAAACGAGGCGAAATGGCTCTAAGCGAGCCCTGCGGTAGTGCACTTGTTGTTGCGGCAGTGGCCTGGCCCTCTCCTCCCCGCCAAGTTGGCAAGCGGGGGCTGGTGTCCGTCTGGGCCGCGGCTGTGCCAGCGCAGATCGGGGAGTATCTGGGTTTGCCGCGGAGATGCCACTGTAAATAGCTGCCCCACGCACAAAACGTCCGTGCCACGGTAGCGTCGTGGGCTGGCTGCAAGCCCACCTCCAGGCTGCTTGCTCTGCTCCTTGGAGTGATATTAGTTAGAAAAAGAAGAATTTTACAAAATCCCATTTGACTTTTGTACTGAAGCCTCTGTTATTGTTGATATTGTTATGGTTTTTAAGCCGTAGTCATGCCTGCAGCCCTGATGGCAACATGACCTGTAAAAACCCAGCTTGGATCCTATCAGACGCAGTCCACTGTGTAATCTGGTAGCCCAGACCAGAGAATTTCAAGTGTGCCTATACATGAAATTAATGTGTGACCATAACGTGAAAGTGTCTTTTTGTTTTTCTGTTGTATTTATCTAAAGCAACCATGAACAACAACTACTCAGAAAAAATTGTTTTGCTACTTTTATGGCAAATCTTAGCTGCTGGAATGTCCCGTTTTGGTTTCAGACCTGGCACAGCCATCACTTTCTTTCTGTCTCATCTCAAGCCTTTAAATTAACTGCATGCTGAAAAAACAGTGGATGTTGGAGGTGATGTTGATTCCTAGTTGCTGATAGCCTTTGGATTTAAGGGAAAACCTGGACTCAGGGCTCCAACACAGTATGAAGCTTTTATTAACATTTGTACGGGTTTTTGCTGTGGGGAAGAAGGGTGTTCAATTTGAAAGAAAAATTTGGCCGTGACAGCTGGGCATTTTGCTGGGTGTTGAAATTACAGAAAAAGAGACTACTTCAGAAAAATATGTGTGTGTTAAAAGTAGATGTTTAGATCATTAGCTATCAGAGTACAGCTGACAGTTTAGTTCTACCATTTTGATTTTTTTCCATGTAGCATGCTGTTTTAGAAGAACAGAAACTTTTTGTTGATGAGCAAGCTTCTGTGTTTGAGTTGTGCTTTTGGCTTGCATACAGCATTTTTGCATTTTCAGGGCTGTAAAATAATATTGACTGAATTGATTTGGATGTGGGCTCAACAGTTCAGAAGAAGGTGTGATCTTCTGTACCCTCCCTGTGTCTCTCTGGCACACGTGCACACATGTGTACACACACTCACTTTTAATGTGTTCTTCCAAGATGTTCCACAACTAGAAGGAAGCTAACGTCACAATTTTAATACCAAACACCCTTTTCTGCCGGCTTCTACAGCATGAAGGAATGTAATTAATTTGCAGATCTCACTATTCCCTGCGTACAGAAGGAGATGGTCAGGCACGCTCAGACAAAGAAGTTGGGAGTCACCATACCCCTCTCTCCCATACTCCAAACACCTACCCCCTATAGTGCCCTTGTTGGCTGGAAATTTTGCAAAGTGCAGTATAACACCAGGGCTTCCTTTTTGCTTAGCAAGCTGAAGTTCAGGGAAATACACGTTGCATCCCAAATGAGCTGGGGGTGAAAGCGTAGATGAGTCCTGCTTTCCTTGTGGGTCTGTGCATCCAGATTTCTTTTCCATGGGCTGCTTCAGGTTCACCTGGGACATGCCCTGGGAAAATTAGCTTTTCTCAGTATATAGATACAGCACCTGTGTCTTAGGCCATAAAATAAATGATTACTGAGGAAGTAGTAAGGATGTCAGAGGTAAGCCTTTAGGTTTCAGTGAGAATCTGAGCATGGGGTTCAAAGGTAAGAATGACCAAAGACCTGTGAGCTTCATCATTGGGGGAGGCAATGGTTTTGGAGCCATTTTGAACAAAAAGCCTAGTCTAGATAGTTGGTCATTAACTGACAGTTAATATGAGATCTTACAAAAACATCCTTCTGTTTGTCTCAACTTTGACCCAAAATCATAAGATTTTGGGGATGACTTTATTGTCTTTTGAGGTTCTGGCTTCAGTTCTTCTCTAGCAGAGCAAGTCCCACTCAAGTCTCTCAGATCACTTCACAATCACTTCAGGACAGCCATTTGCAGGAGATAATGTAATTCTTGTTCTCATCTGAGAGTCTAGAGAACTGAGACAGAGTTCAAACGATCTATCCAAAATACACAGTAAATTAACACAAGAAATGAGACAGGGAAACAAATTATTTGCTCCAGTCACAGGATTAAATTGCCTTTCCCTAACTCGCTGCAACTGTTAAGAAATTCATGGGCCATTCCTCTTGCAATAACTTGAAAAGGGCAGACATGCTTTTTATGCTTCTTTCCGATGTAAGTGGTATTAAATATGCATTGTAGCTCAGTTACCTTAGATAACTGAGCATAAATTCATCCATCTTCCACTGGAAATTCTGTTCCCAATGTAGCAGCTGAATGTTCTTTCTTTTGTTTTCTACTTTTTGGAGGGGTGGAAGGTTTTTTGCTTTTGTTTCTAGAGAAGAATCTTGTTAGCATTCCTTAGAAACTCATTAAAATGCTTCCCTTTTTGCTTATTCTCCTAATTTATTAGTACCACAAATAACTTTTCTTGGGTGACCCACTTTCATAGATATCTCGACATCTAGCAAAATTGTAACTCATCAGGAAGGCAGTGTAGGCTAATAAATAGCATCTCCAGACAGAGAGGAAAATCAAGACACTTCTTGCTTTGCCACACAGAGTTCTACACACCACACGTACAGAAAGTATTGCTGTATTTCACAGCTTACTTGGCACCCTTAGACTAAAAGAAAGCACTTTGTTGATTGCATGATTGATTTAAAGGCCAGGATTTAGGATTGGATCTATTCTCCTGTCTGAATTCAATTTTTATCCTACGTCCACACTGAAGAAACTGTTTTTGCATAAATATAAATCGAAATATTAGTTTGTGTGAGTGTTCAAACAAATAGACTTTCTCTTATAGCTCCCAGGACAACCTCCCAACACTACACTGTTATCAAAACCATTAGGGTTTGACTAAGATATTGCTTTTTATTGAACTGTCATACCTGCTTTGTGAAAAGTACAAATCTGCTTAGAAAACAAGGATGCCTCCTGATTTAATGAGCATGATAGTCAACAGGCCACTGGAAGCAGTAGGGCTTTACAGACTCTAAGTCAGGCAGAGATCAGCTAGTGTAGAAGAATGCACTTTTTTTTCATACTCACTTATTTCAAAAGATACAGAGGTTGCTTCTTGTGAACTGAAGCTACACAGACAGGCTTATGGCAAGGGCTGATTAGTCACCTTGTGTCCTGCAGACACGCAAACACTGGTCATGCTTTAAGGGCAGTCTACTCTGAGAGTGCAGTCTGTGGTTGTCCCAGCCCAAGGATACTCAGCGTTGCCACCTTCTCTCCGAAGTCAGCTGGAGAGCAACCCCCTAACAGGAGAGCATAAGGTTTATTTGGTGACTTCTGATGAAGCTTTGTTTTCCCTTTCAGTAAGTGTGGACGTCTATGTAAGTGTGAGAGCATCATGGTGGCGTTTAAAGGAGTCTGGACTCAGCCCTTCTGGAAGGCCGTTTCGGCAGAATTTTTGGCCATGCTCATTTTTGTCCTCCTCAGCCTTGGTTCCACAATCAACTGGGGTGGAGCAGAGAAGCCCTTGCCTGTCGACATGGTCCTTATCTCCCTCTGCTTTGGACTCAGCATTGCAACCATGGTGCAGTGCTTTGGACACATCAGTGGAGGCCACATTAACCCTGCTGTGACCGTGGCAATGGTTTGCACGAAGAAGATCAGCCTCGCCAAGTCAGTCTTCTACATTCTTGCCCAGTGCCTGGGAGCCATCGTGGGCGCAGGCATCCTTTATCTCGTCACACCGCCAAGCGTGGTAGGAGGCCTGGGAGTCACTGCGGTAATCGCTTCTCCTCCCGCTCTTGAGTTAGACTAGCGTAGAGCCAAAGAAAATATAATCAGTGTCACGCAGAATAAAGAGAGATCAAGTAGAGATTTTTAGGAGCTTTCTTTACAACATGTAGACGGGGCTTAAAGCTCTCCTTAGGATGGGTTTATGCAGCGTAATATCTATAGCTGTTCTTTTTATAGAAGTTCTCTTTCACAGAACTTCTCCAAATCTGATGACAGCAGGTAATGTTAATTTACATACAAAATTTAAATAATATATGCGTGAAATGCCATTTTTATATGGGCTGGGGAGGGGGAAATTAATTCTATGCCATTATGATGGGATTGAAAAAACATCAATTTAGAATGACATACTTTTGAAATAGATTGTGGCTTAGATTTCAGCTTTGTTCTAAACTAATAAGGAATGCCATCAGTTAGCCCTGTTGCAGGACTTATTAAAAATGCACTTGAGCTGCACACTGCTTAATTTTTAATTGAAATTTAAATTAATTAAGTCAGGGCTAATTAATGAATTTATAATTGAATAGTAAATTACAGTGCTCCCAAGAAAAAAGTGGTGAAGGGGAAGTGCAGCATTTGCAAATCCCTGTGTAAAAATAAACTATACTTCTGCAGTCTAACTTTGAAGTTCTTGTTGGATGTTACTGTTAAACCTTCTGTTCTCAGTCCAGTGATAATTTTCCACAGCTCTCAAAATTTAAAAAAAAAAAAAAAAAGGGAGAAAAGTGAGGAGGGAATCTGTACCTCTAAATTTCATTGTTGTCTTTCACGGTGTACCATTTAGAAATAGCTTTCATTGAAATACAATTAATGTATATGGTGTCTTTCTCATTTGCAAAATCACCTTTGTTTCATCTCCGGTGTTTCTTTCCTCTTTTCCAGGTACACAGGGATCTTTCCGCTGGCCATGGACTCCTGGTGGAGCTGATAATTACATTTCAGCTGGTTTTTACTATTTTTGCCAGCTGTGATTCAAAACGAAGTGATGTCACTGGTTCAGTAGCTTTAGCAATTGGATTTTCTGTTGCAATTGGACACTTATTTGCTGTAAGTTAATGGTGTCTGTATAAAAAATAGACCCCTTGTCCCTTTATGACTACTTCAGAAGTAAAGGGAAACTTTGGTGGCCTTTGTAGCTTCTATAGCAGCTATATTTTTAATGGATCCACATCAAAACCCTTTGGAGTAGCAGGAGGGTCCCCTTGGGTGGGGTATTGCATCAGAGGTTTTCTGCCTGTTTATGTGATGACTTTGTTAATTTTGTGATAAGACTGTGGAGAGTGACAATACTTGCTGTCAAGATTAGAAGCCATGCAAAACCAGGGTGTCCCCCTAGTACAAGCACTAGTAGAAATTAAAAAACTATCTTGAAGAGTTTAGTAACAGGTAACATTTTGTCTCTGCTTTAGATCAATTACACCGGTGCCAGTATGAACCCGGCTCGATCATTTGGACCTGCCGTCATTATGGGGAGATGGGAAAACCAATGGGTAACTCTGCTTTCACGCTTTCTCCACCATAGCGACAAAGAGCTGTCAGGATTTTTTCATCATTTGCTTTTAAGTTATCTATCCCAGTACATCCCACAGAGACCAACACTGAGGAAGTTATGGAAGTAATTCTGTCAGCTTCACGTTTCACCTGCTTCTGCGGCAAACTGGGGCAGGCGTGTAAAATGAGGGCAGGGATCCCCTGTGATCTGGTTTCTGGGGGAGAACCTGCCTCGGCAAATGCCTGCAGTGAGAGATGAAGGGGTTGCAGTCTGGTCTTTGCAGACCAGACCAGATGTTACCTGCTTCAATTTGAAAGCGTCAGCTTAACTAGGAGTGTTTGTGCAGGAAACAATTTGGTAAACAGATTGTGAATGATGTGGTCATTTTCTATAGCATCCCACTATTAAACTTACTAAAAACCAATTCACTTTTTATAAGGTAGAGATGGATTGCAGCTCAGCCTCACCTAATGAAGGGAGGTGGTGGAGTCGCCATCTCTGGAAGTGTTTAAAAAACCTGTGGATGTGGCACTTCAGGACATGGTTTAGGGGACATGGTGGCGCTGGATTAATGGTTGGACTTGATGATCTTGAAGGTCCTTTCCAACCTTAGTGATTCTGTGATTTCTGTGTAATGAAAGACAGGGAAAGCACTTCTAGGGGCACTTTTGATGCTGACTGTAAGAGCTGCATATTACAGTGCATATAAGGATTTTTGTGATTTTTAAAGTATGAAGCCCACAGTGCTCCCACTGCAGCTAATAACAGAAAAGGCATTGTCTTCAGGCCCTGAGGCGCCAATTCTGCAAACATGACACCATGTGTAACTTTGTTCCCAAGAGTTATCCTACTGAGGCAGATTTACCCAGTTATCAGTGAAAGGCTTGTTCATACAAAAAAAGCCATAGTTTTTCACAAGATTAATTATCCATATTCTGAGGGAGCCTGTAATATATAACTAAAGCTATAAACAATAAATAAATGTACCATGGAGAAACTTGTATGAGAAGCTTAGCTACTGTCCTGGTCACTTGGAAAGACAGCCTTTTCTCCTCCTCCAGAGCAGTGACATTGGCATGCCATTGACAGAAGCCCGTGGGCTTCTGCACCTACTAATGTTACAGAACTGCTGCATGTCATGTCACGCTGAAATAGATAGGGACCCTACAAAGTTGTGTATCTCTGTTATATTTGCTTATTCAGATTAGATAATCAGGTAGCTGATTGCCTGTTGGTTTCTGCAGGATCAGAAGCCAAATTTGGATTATTTTGGAAATGTGCATCTGAAATACTGAAGTAGGGCTGTTTGTATATACACTAGGAAAGGTTTTGTTTGCTTAAAATTCATTGTCACCTTGGGTGAAAATGCAGAAAGAAAATCAGTGTTCTACATTGGTGTTTATTTTATGTGTCATCTTGCAAACAGTCCATGTATGTTGTCTACAGCTGGCAATAAGCGATGAAAGTGTAGAGAAGGCCTCTTGGCCATCTCCAAAAAGATGGATCGATAAAATTTGACAAAAACTATTTCTCTTTGAAGATGAGGGCCTGCTTCTCAATCATCTTACTCCTGCTAGTTTAAAAGCAAAGCTATGCCAGAGCAGCTATATGTTGCATGTGACTACAGAGCTGTATTTGACAAGTCATACATGACTCGACCAGGATCTGTAGCCTTTTTTCTCTCAAGATATGTTATAGCTATGGTTGATCCAAATAAGGATGATGAAGAACATATACTTCTGTCTTATTGGACAAAGTTTTAAAAAAATAAGTTAAATCTCCCATAAAGAGGGGGAAAAAAGCTGCTTTCTATTAACAGGAGAAGGTAGGGCAGCCAGGGAGGATGTCTGCATGTCTGTCCATGGGAGGTGTCCATAGCTTCACTGCCACTCAGCTGGTCTGCCCCAGGGCATTGGTAACCAGGCTTGTAGACTGAAATCTTTTTCATGCATCAGGGAAGTAGTAACTGTACCTCACTGACTTGTCAGTATAGGTCCCTCTTCTCTGCTTGGTGGGGCCCACTGCCTGGTGATTCCCTAAATGCTGGCATGAGGGGAGTTTTTAGGAAAGAGCCACACCCATGGATGCAAGGTGATTTAGATGACTGGATTCAAGGTGACTAGGGAGTATTTCTGAAGGGTTGAAATATATGTGAGAGAGAGAGACTGGGAGGAGGCAGAAAGGAAAAAAAAAATTACCTAGGACTAATGCCATTAACTGCCTAAGACACTGCCTTTTGACCAACTTCGTATGTGATTTTAGAGCAGTCACTTAATTACTGAGCTCCAGGTCACCATCTCTGAAAGCTACGGTAGTTACACTTCTCTGCCTCATAAACTGGTATGATGGCAAATTTCATCCTGGTTCATGAAAGCCGGGGAGCTATGTGACCATGCATTTCTGGAGACTTGGTTTTAACAATTGGGCCAGGGCATTTTGCAGGAACTTTTTGAGGTGAAGTCTATCGTGACATGATTTTGTCTGACACCTTGGCTTCTTTATTTGTTCTAGAGCTTAATGCCTGTTGTTTTTCCACCTCTTTTTGCAGGTATATTGGGTGGGACCAATAATAGGAGCAGTCCTTGCTGGTGCTCTTTATGAATATGTCTATTGCCCAGACGTTGAACTCAAGCGCCGTTTTAAAGATGTCTTCAGTAAGGCTACCCAGCCGTCCAAAGGGAAGTACGTCGAGGTGGACGATAACAGGAGCCATGTAGAGACCGATGACCTGATCCTGAAGCCTGGCATAGTTCATGTGATTGATATCGACCGGGGTGAGGACAAGAAGGGAAGAGATCCATCCAGTGAGGTGTTGTCTTCTGTATGACTAGCAAGAAGCACTGAAAGCAGAGAGCAGCCTGCTAGCACGTCCACAGATATCCTTCCACCTATTAAAGAAACAGATCTCCTCTAGACTGAGCATCTACCATTTCTTAGAAGGTATGGTGTGGGCAGCTGCATGGTAGCAGTGTCACCGAACCATACGCCTGCTCAGTTGGAAGATTAGGACTTTGCTATAATTAGGATTCCCCATCTACTATTCCAAATTAAGAGTTGTGCCTAGTATTCTCCTTTCCTTCTTTCTGGAACAACCCCAAAGTAAAAAAAAAAAAAAAAAAAGAGATTAAAGCATTCTCCTTTAATAAATCAGTCAATAATGAGGTAAAAATAGAGATGTTTAACATTCATATTGACAGTTAAGACTTATCAGGAAATGCCTATAGACATGAAGACCTACTTATCAGATTGTTCTTCTGACACTTAATTGGCTGTTGTCAGCTCAGATTAGAACAGCCTATCCATTAAGCTTTCTCTGAGAGGTTCAGGGACAGCACCAACAGTATTTAAGAGTTTTATCCACAGTCAAGCAAAGGAGTATTGTTTTCACTCATGTACATCACTATTGCCTTGCAAACTACCTCTGAAAAAATAATTTAATGCGTTTAAAAAAAAATAAAATTCTATCGACCCATCAGATTTCACTCATGTGATTTGCAGTATAACTATATTACCTTCATCCCTTCCTGAGAGTAAATACGCTCAAATTGAATCTCGAAGCCTACTGTAATAAGGCTGCAAAGCATTTGACTGTACTTCATGCTCCCTCTTGTCATCGTCTATCTAGTGAAACATTCTCCTGGGGTTTGACTATTGACCATTTAGTGTTAGCAGACTCTCAAGGTCATGCAAAGAATAAAAAAGGCTTTCCTGTTACTTAATAACTCAAATAAGAGATATCAGAAGAAAAGAAGGCATATCTGTTTTCAGTGCACTTGTTCAAATACATATTTCTGTGCCAATTTATGTAAACTAAAGGTTTGAATTACTTACCTACTTTCTTACAAGATGGTTGGAGATATGGGGTTTTTAATTTATTAGTAATGTAGAGAGTTTTTAACTTTTAACTGTCTTGAAACATTGATTGGGAAATATTTTTTTATAACGGATGATGAAAATATGACTGCTTCTGGCTTTTTGTTGTAACTGATGCCTCACTATTTGAACATGACCCATGCTTGTTCCAGTGTTCTTATAGTCTTAATTACACCTCTGGCAAAGGTTTCTTTATCTGTTGTTAGGAAAAGATGCAAGCACTTGCAGGGTGTTTTAGGGGGAAAGGGACATGAAATATGTTCCATAATCAGTCTTTCCCTTACAAAAGTATTTTGACAGATGTAATCACCCCAGCAGAACATTTCTGTAAAGCTGCTACTGACTTACTGCTTTTGTTTCTGATCAGTGGCTTTGAGTTTTACAATATGCAGCTGCAGAGCAGTCAGGAGCATGGTATTATTGCTGTAATTGTATAGTTTTTATTTTGAAATTGAAAAGCTATTCCTGCCTATTTAGCAATAAGAGGGGAAAAAAAGCGTTAGACCTGACTGTGGGTGTAATAGCCCTGTCTGTTCGTTGACATACTCTAAAGGCAATCTTTATTACAGGGAATTAGATGTTTCTAATGAGATAATAAACCACCGCTACCCTCAGATCTGTGCACTGTGATCCAAGGGTAACACTACTCTCCCAACTCGCCATGCTGTATAATCCCAGCATGTCCTGCCATACTCATTTTCCTAGTTTCACACTTTTCTTATCTTAAAGCCTGTTAGCGTGGCACGAGCTCCCTGCACCGAGCATGAGATTCGAGACTCCTTCATGCACTTGCAGTTGGGCCATGATCTCTCCTTTATTCCACCCCGGCGCAGCGTGTAGAACACACGGGCGCAGGACAGGGCTTCCTTGGGTGACCCAGCGACGCGTCGGTCCTCCCGCAGGGCACGCTCCCCGTCACATCACAGCAGCAGCTGCCTGTTGGGTCAGGTAAAACAGCCGATATTTGTCCTCAGCCATGCCCCGACACAGCGACAGCATCACGGTTCAAGGGCTTTGAGCATGGGTAGGGACCTGCAAGGGACAATGTCAAATCACAGATAAAAGCTCCTTCCCAGAGCAAGGACTACGTCTCCTGGGGAAGGGCAACACAGGTGTGGTGTTTAGACCCCTGCATACCTCTGCTCAGATGGGTAAATACCATGCTAAATAGATTCAATGAGAAAGATCAAAACTTGTGGGTGTTTTTTTGTCTAGGCATTTGTTCTGGCTTGCTTTATTTTTCTTCAAATGTTGTATTTGTTAAAGGGACACTTTGATTAAACCTTTTGCATGGCTTAAACAGGTAAAGAGTAATACACAGCACTGGTGGATTTTTAAGCAAAGGTTTGTGTTTTTGTATTTAAAGGCACTCCTTAGAACCTCTTAATTTGTGGATTCTGCATGGTACTGTGTTATTTAAATAAGAAGCTGTGATTTGTTTTAAAGCTTAAGGGTTCTTTACAAAAATGGTTTGATTTTCCTCAGCCAGCCTGATTCTGCTGCCGAGGTGAGCATAACATGAGCATAGCACCAGCCACCTCAGTTAGGTGGATTTTTTTCCTTGCAACATTTTCTATTAATGAAGTGTGGCAAACGTTCAGAACCAGTCCTAGGAGAACTCATTGCTCAAAGAGAGCATGGGAGGTAAGATACTGAGGCACCTGAAAAGATGAGGGGAAAGAAGGGAAGCTAAAATAAAGAAACCACCAGACAGTAAAGGGTGTTGCCATGCCATTGGACATTAGGAAAGCAAGATAGAGTAGGTCTGCTCCTGCTCCCACAGAATGAGACTCATGCAAGAGTTTGTCACTGACTATAGTGGAAGCGATCCTGAGCTGTTTTGGGGCCTGATGGCTTCTCTCTTGCACTTCACTGTGTTTTTTCCAAAATCAGAGTCTTTCAGCAAGATACTTAATTCTGGAAGGAGTTCTTTCGACTTGAGGTTTATGACCCATCCTAAAGTAAATCCTTACAAGTGGCTGTCATCACAGCCAGTTCTGCTCCACTACAAGGGATCACCATCCGTGTAAGGGAACATCACTCTTCAGCATCCCTTAAGACTTGATTTAGCTTTGACCTGTGGGGATGTGTGCTTCTCTAAGTTGTTTTGCAGTGATATCATCACTCTACCATAGTCACATTTGCTTAAATAATAGACTAGCATGACCTTTTCATGGATTGGAAATACTTCTGCCTTAATATGATTTTTAAATATATACTTTAATACTGTTTGAAATTGATGTTCTAAAGGCCTCAGCTCTTAAATTGCGCCTCATAACATAACATGGTGTCCTCCTAAAGTATTTCGTGGTTGAGTGGTAAACGGTAAATGTCTTTCATTTATGATGGTAGATGGATGTCACAGGAAGTCTGCCAGGCATTTCGTCATTCTGGCGTCCTAAAAAAACCATGGATGAGTCTCTCACTCCTCCATGATGGCACAGTTGTTTCCAACGCTATATTTGCACTTTAACAAACACATTCAAAATACCGGATTTCAGAAAAGAAAGGATGGAAGCTAAGGGTGGTTGCCCTGAGGCACACAAATACATTTCGGGTTGCATGAATTCTGAGCAGTTTATCAGCCAAATTCTAACTACTCTCAGGAGAAAAAAAAAAAAAGGAAACCCTGCAGAATTTGAGTTGTCATCATAACCCTTCTCCTGCAGAGACATTTGGGAGCTGTATCTTTCATTCATTCAGTGGAAGCAGGAGCAAGAGTCATCTCATGCAGTGTTTAGGCTTGTCACATGTATTTACGTATAAGCTTTTCAAAATGTGGGTTTTTATGATTATTAAAAATTGCCACAGTATCTGCTTAGAAAGCTAGATGGCCTTCAAATTTAAGCCTTTCTAGTGCTTGGTGGCAGAGCAGTGGCTGCTGTCCTCTGCAACATTTTATCTGCAGTCTGTGTAACACATTCAGGATATTATACCATCCAATATTTTTAATCTAAATAAAATATGTGAGAATTTACGTCGTGAACCTTTCTTTCCAAGGTGAGAGGTGAAAACACCATGCACAATTTTTTGTATCTGAAATCAACCCGTGTGTATCTGAGTTTTACAAGGACTTACTAAATAGACAAGCTGCAAATATAGACTGAGCTATTTGTTACCCACTCACATGATCTAAGTCATACTGATGCAGCCTGTAATTTAGGACAAATGAGGTAAAGCAAACTATGTACGTGATTTTTGCACAAGACTGCTTATTGTTGAAATGCTTAGTCACCATGATCTCAGAACTAATGTTATAGGACTTAAAATTGCCATATGTAACATTTGGAATAATTTACTGAAATATACACTATAAAAATAATACATGATTATCTGGTTCCCACTTGTATTCTACTGTATCTCACACTACTGTTGCAAATAAATTATCTGTTAAAAAAAAATGTCGTCACTGGAAATGTTTAATGATCCTAAAGCTCAGGGCTGAAATATAAGGGAAAAAACCCATCCAGCCAATAGAACACGTCTAAGAGAAGTCTGGAAGTGTGTGCAGCTGAGAACGAATTATTTACTGTGGAACAATATTTGTCAGTGAAGAGAGGTGATTGTGAAAGAGATTTAATAGCTGTATGGAAAAAAGCTAAACCAATTAAAGCAGAAGTTACGCTGGTACCTGTGCATCACTGATTTTGCTAAATGGTTTTAAAACTCATAGGACTAGTGGAGAGCTAAGGTTTTGCAAAAAAGACACTGGCACTTTGGAGTCCTTTCACTAAAGCATGGCTTGTAAGACCAAACTCCCATGAGGAATTTGAGCAGTGGAAATCAGGTCCTGTAGCAATTACATTTCTAGTTGTCTGGCTCCTTGCTTGGAAAGTGAATTCCAGTTCCTAAGACACATCTGGCATTTATGGAGGAAATCAGAATCCTGAAAATGATTCATATGAAAGCCCATCACCTGGGATAGCATCTAATCAGGAAGAGCTGAGAGCAGATCTGTGTCTGAAACTCGCCTCTCACAGAGGTTCAGCTCTTAGATCTAATGATTCTCATAGAATCATTAAGGTTGGAAAAGACCTCTAGGATCACGAAGTCCAACCGTCAACCCAACACTCTAGCCTTCAGCTTCTTTGTAGCCAAGCTCCAGAGGCACCTCTCAAGAGGCTTAGGGGGCTGTGTGTCTAAGTGTGTGGCATATATCTTACTACACACATGATCTTACCCTTTCCTACCTTGCTGAAAGAGGTTCCCAAGGGAATGTAGGCAGAACTAGTAAATTTATTTTGGGATCACAAATACATAAAGGTAGGAGCTGCTTTGACATTTTGGGAGATGATACACAAACAAGAACCTAGGTGTCTGGAGAGTTAGAAAGGCAAACAAGTAGTGATGTAGCTGTCTCCAGGGTTAAGACGCAGCCGGGTCCTGGGAGAAACAGGAAAGCAACAGTGCAGGCAAGGGAGAGCTTTGCAGTGTACCTCTTACCCAGTGTTTGCTGGCACTGTGGTATCACTTACAGGGTTAAAATGTGGTCCCCGTTGCATGAAGACATGCACATAGGCTTGTGGGATCACATGTAGGCCACCGAATGGGAGAGGCTGGGCTGTGCCGGGTGAGTGATGTCCTTACTCTAAGCTTCAGCGACAACACTGGCTTCAGCAGCGACAACTGCAAACAGCAACTGTGGCCTGGTCATCTGCTTAAAAAGAGAATTTAGAGTGTAGATATTCCCAATATCAGCTTCCTTTTGAACCCTCCTTTGACTTTAGACTCCTTTATCTCTTGCAGATTATGGCATATTGCAAGTGTTATAAGCTGCTTTATTTATATCAGACTGATAAGTGTTATCTTGGCTATTAATTTCATTTGACCTTTCTTGCCTCATTAGAAAAGCAATCCTTACAAGTACAAAGACTGTAGAATAATCTAGCTCAAAAAGCAATCACAAGGTTCTTTGGAAAGGCGAAAGGAGCTTATATTATTTGTCTCTCACCTTGCCATGTGTGATAGGCA